ACCTGTTGTGAGAACATGTAAGTTCTGAGATGGTAGTGTCTCAGTCAATAAATGGTAAGAATCACATTTGGTTTCAAGAATGAGAATGTAGTTCATGGGGTTAAGTGAAAATAAATAAGAAAAAATTTGATTTTATAGTTTTAATTTTTGGTGCGAGATGTTAGCCCCCGGGTGGAGGGAGAAGAGGGAGTGCGAGATGTTTGCCCCCGGGTGGAGGGAGAAGAGGGAACTCTAGAGTGAGAGCTAGTATCTTCTCTACCTAACAGATCAAGACTATTCAAACTATAGATTAGTCAATGTTCTTTATAACATCTCTAGTAAGGGTAAAGAATATTATTGCTCTTATTTGACACAACACAATTAGAATACTTTCACAACAGAATTTCTATACTTGTTAGTGATTCATGATAAGGAAAAAAATATTCTATTTATATTGTCTTCTTCTTGCAAATATTTAGTCAAGTTAGTTAGTTGCTTATTTTATTTTCAATTATCAAAAATTAAAAAAAGAATCAAATTTTTATTTCTATTATAGCATCTTGAGTTTAAGTAAGAATATTTTGCTAAGCATAATTTTGTTATCTAATTTCTCCTGTTTTGTAGAGTGCATATTGTCAAGTTTTTTCTTTGGGTTCGATATTCAGGGTTTAATCAAAAAGTCATATATTACTTGATAACGATACATATACTTGTGTAGCATCACATATCTAAATATTATAATTGTATTCTTATTTGCTTCATAGTGGGAAACTAACCTAGCTTTTATTTTGGATCGAGTTTTTGGCATTGTTGCAAAATAAGAATCATTATTAAGAAAATTAAACATATAATCACATACATCTCATTTTGCATCTATATAGAAAATCGGGATCACTCCCCAAACATAAATAGTTAATAATAATTTAGTATTGATTATATTTTTAATTACAATAGAATCATATTAGGGTTCCATTTGTTTCTCGTCGATCTTTCTATTGCGCCTTCACTGCTGGTTTTCATGGCGATTGCTTCTGATTCAATGACGACAATCTGCAGTCACTGTGGGAGGGATATCCCAACGGTCAACCTTCAGTTGAATCAAAAAGTTTCAAGATGTGGTGAAATTGTGCCAAGAAAGCTTGTTGATGAGCACTTCAAAGAAAGCCATGCTCCCAAAGATTGTTCACTGTGCAGTGAAACTATAGAGCGTGAAGGTTGGTCTCTTCATCAAGATGAAAAATGTCCAAAAAGAATTGTGACTTGTGAATTTTGTGAGTTTCTTTTGCCTGCAGCTGATCTTTTTGAGCATCAGGAAGTGTGTGCGAATAGAACAGAACTTTGTCATACTTGCAACAAGTATAATTAGGCTTCGAGAACTCATTAGGCATGAAGTTAATTTGCCAGTCTCATTCAGATGGTTTAGCAGAATCTTCTGGCTCCAGGAATGAGTCATTGGTTGATAGAGAAGGTGTTAGGAGGAGACAAGTAAACAACTCTGAAGCTTATCAAAGAAGTGACGATGGAGATGACTCTCAAGGAGAAGCTGCTCGCAGGTGGTGGACACGTGGCACATCCCAGAGGAGAATAATTTACACAATTGCCCTTACAGGATTTGCAATGCTCATCGGTTCATTTTTCTTGTCAAGAAGAGGCTGAGGCTGAGAATAACATAAAAAAGAACAATGATATAATCTCTCATTTATCAGTAATATAT